GTAATTGCGGATTTTTCAAATAGTCGGCGTTGACAAATTTTTTCAACGGCTTGTGACTCTGTAATTGCATTCTTTCTTCTGTCAGTTATCAGCTGTTACTTTTAGCTTGCTTTAGAAAAAAAGTGTGCGAAATTTTATTTACATTTGTTTGTTTGGCGTCAATTTTAATACGGAGCCCACAAAGGAGCATTTTCGTCATATTTTACTTTATTATTTCCGTAAAGGAAAAAACGCGGAGCAGGTTGCTAAAAAGTCACGAGATGTGTATGGTGATGAAGCCTTAAAAGGAAGACAGTGTCAAAATTGGTTTCGCAAATTCCGTTCTGGAGATTTTTCACTTAAAGATGAGCCAAATCAAAGCATTAATCGAATTGGATCGTCAGGTATCTGAGCGTGAGATAGGAGAGAAGTTAAATATACCAAAATCAACCGTTCATTATCACATAAAAAGTCTTGGACTGGTGAAAAAGCTTGATATTTGGGTACCACATGTATTGAAAGAAATTCATTTAACAAACCGAATCAACGCTTGTTTTATGCCTCTGAAAAGCAATAAATTCGATCCGTTTTTAAAACGAATCATAACTGGAGATGAAAAATGGATTGTTTACAACAACGTTAGTCGAAAACGATCATGGTCCAAGCATGGTGAACCAGCTAAAAACAACTTCAAAGGCTAATATCCACCAAAAGAAGGTTATGCTGTCTGTTTGGTGGGATTGGAATTGTGTCGTATATTTTGAGCTGCTTCCAAGGAACCAAACGATTAATTCGGATGTTTACTGTCAACAATTGGACAAATTGAATACAGCCATCAAGGAGAAGCGACCAGAATTGGTCAATCGTAAAGGTGTCATATTCCACCAGGACAACGCTAGACCGCACACATCTTTGGTCACTCGCCAAAAACTGAGTGAGCTTGGCTGGGAACTTTTGATGCATCCACCATATAGCCCTGACCTTGCACCATCAGACTACCATTTATTTCAATCTTTGCAGAACTCCTTAAATGGTAAAACTTTCGGCAATCGCACTTGGTTCAGTTTTTTGCAGATAAAGGCCAGAAGTTCTATGAGCGTGGAATACTAAATTTGCCAGGAAGATGGCAAAAGGTTATCGAGCAAAATGGCAATTATATATTTGATTAAAGTTCATTCTAAGTTTTATTAAAAATGCATTTACTTTCTTTTGAAAAATCCGTAATTATTTTTTGGGCAATCCAATAGTTCGCCAGAATACCAAATTAAATTTCGGGTGTTAAAAAAAGTAACAAAATTTACTTTGTCGGTAACAATGAGAATAATTCTGATAGGGTGAAACATTTTAGAGGATTGATATCCATAATCGTATAAAGTTAAAGATGTTTGTGAGAGGTTTTATGCAAAAATATTTATGGAAGGGGTTCTCACCTGTATGACTTATCTAAATAATTTAAAAGATTTGTGACACAAATAAATAATACAACTTTTGTAACAAAATAGAAAAATTTCAAAAACTTTTTGGTTTTTAAAGTATGTGGAAAATTTTACTGCAAACGATTTGGTGAAAAATCTTTTTGATTATTCTTTCTACAAGTATTGAAAATTTAGTTTGTATTAGTTTATTGGAAGTACTGCGCTCAAAATGCATCAGCCAAAATTTTCTATCATGACAATAATTGCTTGGAGTGAAGGCACAAAAAATCGTCGATTCCTGCTGTAGACTTCGTAGAAGTTTTCAACCATTACAAAAAAAGCATTGATATTGTCAGCGAGATAATAAAGCAAATGATTGAAATTTTAATTAAAATTAAATTCTAGTTTTTTTCACATATTTCCATATTTATTTTATTGTCGCGAAATGCGCCTGCGTTTTGCTGCTACTAAATTAAAAATGCTTTCAATTTTTATTTTTCAATAAAGTATGTGTGTGTATCAACACACTGCTCTTTATTTAAATATAAGTATATGGATTTCAAAATTATTATTTTCACGTAACATCAGCATTACAACTGAATTTGATGCCATTAGTATACAATACAGTTAAAAACATATAGATTATTGTGTGGCATTTATGCAATCAGCCGAAGCCGCACACGAGTATAACATAATTACTCCTACTCATATGTGCCCAGCGATCAATATATACATACTACTGAGTTTTGAATATAAATTCTTAATTTTTCGCAACGACAGCAAAATTTCGAAAACCAGTTATATGTATGTAGAAACATTCTATACACAGAAAACTTTAATATGCTTTTATTCAAGTTAATTTTAACTATTTTATTTATTATTTTATAGCTATAAATATTTTTCTTTGAGTTTGTGTAAGTGGGTAGGTAGTTATATCGTACATATATTTACGGTATTTATTCAGGCAGACTTGGAATTTTCTATATAGTTTTTCCGGTTTATTTTAATTTTTTATTTTTCATAAAATAATATTTTTAAAAATATTAAATCAACATTAAAAATGAAAAAATATAAAGCGGAATCATTATTATGACATGCAGATATACGAAAGAAAACTCCCTCAAGTGGAAAATATGAAAAACTAATCACAGCTTTTTTTATATATAATAAATCATAAATTAAATAAATAATAAATTTATCAGATTTTCTTATTTTTTTTTATTCTTGTCAATTCCTTTCTTTTTATTTATTGGTGACTTATGCCTAAACGTATACAAATTGTTGGACAATATTTAAAAAAAAAAAAAACACATTTATACATACATTAATACAATAAGTACAAATTATTTTCAAATTATTTTAATATTTTTTTTTTTATTTTAAACATTTTGTTGCATATTTTCTTTACTGACTGACTTTCAATATAATTGACCAAAAAATGTATTTCTTTAGAAATTACTTGAATATCTTGCGCTCATTTTCGAAATGTTTAGTTTTAAAAAATTTTCATTTTCAAATCATTAGTTTTATATGCCTCAGTCAATTTCACATGGCTATAGGTGAGAAAAGCGGAAAAAATAGAGTTTATAAGTAAATCAAATTGTGCGATAAATATAAATTTGTTTTTTAATTTTTGTTTGTTAAGTTTTTTGTTTAGAAATTTTACATTTTACTTCATATAAAATGCTGCAAGTCAAATATTATTGTCTTTCTTTGTCATATATAGTATATTTAAGTACATATGTATTTACATATATCTGTTGTCAATGCTTTGTTTTGTATGGGTGGGGCCTTTTGTGTGTTTAAGTACTTTTTATATCAAAAGTCTGCATTTTGTGATAATTTTCTTTAACTTTTTTCAAAGATATTTTAGTTTACGAATACATCAAATTTTTTTCTAACAATAATTTTTTTAACATTAAATGGTTTTAGGTTCTGTCAACAGTTCATATTTTTCTCCAATTTTTTTTTGTAATTATTTATGAAAAAACAATGGTTTAAAAATGTCATTTTTGTGTAAACCGAACTCTTGCCATTACAAATGCTTGCATTTTCCTTTTCAAAAATACTTAATTGACCTTCAAATCCTTAGGCTTAGAATTTTTTTCTTCTCGTTTTTTATCATAAAATTAATTGTTTTTAAGTTTTAAGCAGAAAAGTATTTAAAAACTATAAAGGAAATTTCATTAATACATTATTTTTATGCCAAGCAATTAAGACAGTCGCTCTAAAATATTTTGCAAAAATAAATTTTTTTATAGCAAATTTAAAAAAAAAATTATGGAAAAGTTTTAGAAAATCTTTTACAGCAATTTTAAATACGCAGGTAAATTTTATTTTATTTTCCAAATAAATTAATTGCAGTTTTGACTCAGTTACCGAGATCTTTGCATAAACATTCAGTGCAAAAAATACTACTTTTAAGCAAAAGTTTTAACATAATATTTTTTTCTAAAGAGCCTAGCAAATTTTCTGCAATTTTACATAAGCAATCCAAAGGTTTTGAGTGAAAATCATAATTTTGTAAATTAATTTATTAATTTTTATGTTCGCAATTTTTTTTTTTCAAAAAATGTTGCGTATTTTGTGCTCGGAAATATTATGGCATTCTTTAATTTGTAATATTGGAATATTTTTCAATATTAAATTTAACAGAAATTTTTTTCAGGAAGTTTTTCATAGAAAATGTAAAAGGAATTTTTGTAGCAAAATTTTGTATAATTTTTATAGCACAAGATCTTGTATAAATTTTTATAGCAATATTTTGTACAAATTTTTATAGCAAGATTTTGTATAAATATTTATAGCAAGATCTTGTAAAAAATGTATAGCTAGATCTTGTGAAAAGTTTATAGCAACATTTTATAGCAACTTTTTATGGTAAAATTTTATAGCAAATTTTTGAGTCATTTAGCTAATAGATTTTCAAAGCCACTCAAAAAACATTCAAAATCATAATTTGTCCAAATAACAATACAAATACATATATTATATGCTTGCTGTCACTCAAATATCATAAATCGCATAAATCGAGTCAAAACACATTGTTTTCACGCAAAACCTAAACTCAATAATACACTCTTACTCATATTGACAACATTAAAAGAAGCAAAATAAGACATGAATATATATCTGTATATGTACATATATATGTAAATACTCATAGGTCATTAATATATGTAAGTATATAATATAATATCTTTAGCACTTAATTGCTATATATGTAAACATATGACATTTATAAGTAAGTATAGAAGGATATGCCTCAGCAATTGTCTTAAGTAACATTTAAAACCTTTTGGGCTTCACACTCATACGTGTGCTCATATGTATGTGTTTGTCACTGTACTTCATACATGAGTTATATCCAAAATTAGGATCTACAACTACAACTAAAGTAGTACTAAACTATATGTGTATGTATGTATTTATGTTAAATTTCGTAAATAAATGAAATCATTTGGTACATAGGTATATAGGTGATTACAGTGTTAATATATTAACGTAATAGACTCAAACAGAGACTCGTCTGCCGAAACTCTCTCTCTCATTCGTAATGTGCGAAGGTAAGCAGGTGAGTTATTTTCCACTTTTTGTTTTTTTTCCTTATTTTTATGTTTGGTATTTGGTGAAATGTAAGCAGAGATTCTCCAGGAATCATTCTCAAGTCTTATCCCTGAAGTCATGATGTGATGGCTTTGTAAATATATATATATATATATGTGATGAATGTTTGTGTAGGTTGATGTGCGTTTTATATAGTATGTGGTTATGTGTGTATGCTGATCACATCCCAGTGTTTCGTGTTTATAAACCAGGTTTGGTGTTATCATCAACACCGCTGCTGCTGCCTGTATCCGAAGGTATTGGACTAGCAGTGGCGCTGCGATCGTAGTCAGAGTTAATGCTTTGATTGGAAGTAAGAATTTCCTATAAAAAAAAAACAGCAACAAATAAAGCAAAACAGAAATGTGAAGCAATTAAAAGCAGAACCACATAATACATATAAATACATATTTACACACTTTAAAATATAAAAATAAATAACTGTAATTAATTAAGTTCACTACTAAAAACTAAAGTTAAACTCAAAAACAAAAACAAAAAATTAAATTAAATCAAATAAAAAACGTCGAATAAGAAGCTTAGGCTCAGAGCACACTGATTGGGTGAGGGAAGTGATTGTGTAGTCTCTGAAAACAAATTTCAAGTTTACCATTATATGCCTAGTGAGTGTGGATAACGCAAATTTTTACACCCATTACTAAATATACTAATTTAGAAATTCATTAGTACCAATTTTCCGCTCGATAGCGGCGGTTTTGGTTATTTGAGTTCATAAAATGAAAAGCCATAATATAGAAAGCAAGATATCTCTTGATATATCGTAACATTTTCTAACAGAATTGATTTCGAACTCAAAAAAAAAAGCCAGTCCTCGGACATTTGAGCTCACGAAATATAATTAAATGAGGGCACATAAAACTGAACACCCGAAAACTATCGATTCTTTGATGCCTTTTAATTTATAAAATCACAAAAATTTATAGTAATCCGTTTTGGGTACTCTTCGTCGAGCACCTAATTCTGCTCGGTACTTCTTTTTAAGGCTAGAGCTGAACATCCTGGAAAAGAGTACCATTAGAAGGTTAGATGTCTGCTTAACCATGAAAATATATTGCCTAATTTCTATTGAAGACCCGGTCTGATGCGTAACCTTGTGGAGATTATATCCTGGGAAGAGTTGTTAAACACTGAATTTCATTTTCAAGCAAAAAAAAACACGAAGGGAGTCGGTCTGTAAATTTTTCACTTAACTCTGGATCGAATCTAAGCTCATCCAAAGCTGATTTACAATTTTTACTGTTATTCACAGTTATCCAGTTCTCGGGAGCCTGATCTTTCCAGTCGCCATAATCGTCATTAGGTCTTTAAAAGAAATCTTTAATTCCTTTTGAAATGCAGGAGGCCCCAAAGAAGTCAAATCAGTGAATCAGCATTCCGGATCTGAATTTGTCGGGTTAAACTTGTTTCATTAGAATCAATTAACATTTAAAATATGCTTTTATACAAGTTTAATTCCTCCCTAAATTTCTTCACTCTTCTACTTTCTCTAAAGAAAATATTAACTAAAGCTCTAAGAGAGAGGACACCCCACCCCCTTCCAACCACTCAAGAGTGCTCTCATCCATTCGTGAAATAATTTCCTCAACATCTCAACTTACCTCATCCGCCTCGGTATTCTTTATAACCGCCTCCGGTGTTGTGGCCTCTGCCGCCTCAGCTTTCTCAGCCCATTCCTTTAGGTAATCTACAATGGCATGATGGCCGAAATTTTCCGCCTCATCTATTGGCAGATTACCCCAACGATCCTTTGGATTATGTGGCACTTGACAGTGCTCTAATAGGAATTTCACACAGTCCAAATGACCTTCGGAAGCGGCTAAATGCAACGCCGTTCGACCATCATAGTCAGCCAAGGTAATATCCATGCCGGAGAGTCGATGACGTCGCAAAGCGGTTACATCACCACTCGCTGCTGAGAATAGCAGATTAACAATGGACAGTCCTTTAGTCTCGTAACGATGTTTACGTGGATCCTTCTTATCCGATGCATGCTTTAGATTATCATAGCGATGGAAATTGAAGGCGCTCACTAATTCTTCACAAAATTGTACGCCACGTACACTATTGCCCAGCTTATCGAGTGGTGGTGACCATGTGAATATGCCCATCACATTTGGTATGACCAGCATCATGCCACCGGAGACACCGGATTTGGCTGGTAGGCCAACTTTGAAGGCAAATTGGCCGGAATAATCGTATGTGCCGCACGAATGCATTATGGAGAGTACATCGCGTACGACTTCGGGACGTAAAACTTTCTCTTCGGTGGTGGGGCAGATGCCACCATTGGCCAGCGTAGCGGCAATCACAGACATTGATTCGCATGTGGTCTCCATGGAGCAGCACTATTGTGGGAGGAAGAAAGGGATAAGAAAGAAACAACTAATTATTATTATTTCTATTTGTTTTTTTTTTTCTTTTTCTTTGTAATGCAAAACTTTTACAATTTATTTAAAATAAATCAAAATAAAAATATTAAACAATTAAATAAAGCAATATTATAAAAACTTTACAAATATTAATTTAAATTGAAACAAACAAAATAAAATAACACAAATTACAATATAAAAAAAATATATATATAAAAGAAAATAAAACAAAATTTAACTTGATTAAATAACCAAGAAAAAAATAAAATTAAAATAAAATAAAATAAAGTCAAATAAGATAAAATATAATAAAACTTTGAGATATGAAATAAAATAAAATAAATAGAAATCCAATAAAATTAAAATAATAAAATAAAAAATAAATTAAAGAAAATAAAATAAAAAAATTAAAAATAATAAAATACAAAAAAAAATAAAGCAAAATAAAATAAATTAAACTAAAATGAAATAAAGTCAAATCAAATTAAATTAAATGAAATAAAATAATTTAATTAATATAAAATAAAATTAGAATAATAAAAAGTAAAGAAAAAATAATTATAATAAAATAAAATAATGTAAAATAAAACACAAAATAAAATAAAATTAAATAAAACTAAATTAAATAAGACAAAATAAAATGTATTGAAATAGACGATATAAAATAAAATAAAAAAAAATGAAATGAAATAAAAAAATAAAATAATATAAATTAATATAAAATAAGTTTGAAATAAAATAAAATGAAAAAAAAATAAATAAAATAAAATAAATTAAAAAATAATATAAAACAACATAAAACAAAATACACAAAAAACAAATAAAATAAAATAAATTAAAAAATAAAAAAAAAAATAATATAAAACAACATAAAATAAAGCGAAATAAAATGAAGGAAATAAAAAATAAATGAAATAAAAAAATAATATAATAAAATTAACAAAAATTATATAAAGTAAAATAAAATAAAATCAAAATTTAATAGAAAAATAAAATAAACACAAAAAAAAAATAAATAAAATAAACAAAACCAAATGATATAATATTAAATAAAATAATATTTAATTTAATTAAAAATAGAAAAGTATTTAATTTCCAAGGTTTCGTAAAATAACTAAGATATTTTTTCGCAATAAACCTCTTTTAATGCAATTATTTCCGGTGTTCGAAAAATTATTTATTAAAATGTAATCAATAAATGTTATACATACTCGTATATAAAAAGTGTGAATAGTCACTACACAAAACACACCTGGAAGTAAAAGTCCATGACCTCCTTGAGATTCGTACGCTTTGGATAACACTTATTTTCGCGCATATAAAAGCCCAAAGCATAATTACGATCAGCCGCCTCGCGTTCCGACAGGAATACAGCATTATTGAAACCGATATTCTCGCCACCCGACAACCGCTTGAACCATTGCAAAGTGTAATCGAATTTCTCAGCGGCCGTCATATCGGGTTTGATCAACGCCTGCAGCAGTGAGCAAGTCAATATGGCACCAGCATTGATCATTGGATTGTGTGGCTTGTCTAAAGTGTAGAGAAAGAAATTGAATTTTATATAAGTAAACAAAACAAGAAAATTTTAAATGAAAATAATAAAAAATAACAAAAAAAAAACCTCACTGCACCTCCGCACAGCGCACACTTACTATTATGATCCAACACAAGTTCGTTGAAATTACGACCACTTGGCTCTTGACCCACATACGAATGCACCACTTTAGGTCCCAGCTTCTCCAAGGCGATGGCATACGTCAACGGTTTGCTGGAAACACAATTTGTGCAGTGATTTAAATCGATTGAAACAATTACGAACCTTTACATTTCTAAGTAGTACGAGTGTACAAACAAAACAAACAACACACAAAATGAATGAGGTGGTGGCAATGGGTGGTGTTCGTGATGATGACTGCAGGTGAGAGTGAGAGGTGGTCGAGTCTTCAAGCTCACTTCAGGCCAGGCCAGCGTCTCAAGTGCCCACCACACACTCTCGTCGAAATGCAATCAAACTCAAGTCTCATGACACAACGCAACACGCTGTCCAACAGCAGTCATAACGCAATAAACCGTTATTTATCACTTATTTGTTTCGGTATTGACTCACGAGCTCAAGCAGCCCAAGCAAGTGACTGACAGGTTTCAACACATTTACGACAAGAGTTGCTCTGAAAGAAGTGTAATTAATTGGGGGGGAACAATATGCAAATGAGTTGTATGAGAGGGTGTACGTAAGTATGCATATGTAGGCCGGCGCGCGTCCACTGACACCCAGTGCGGGGAAGAACCGTTTATTTGGCGGAAAACCTGTTCTAACGCGCGTTGATCTTGGAATTTCAAATTACGGCTTAGGCATGTGTAAATATGAACTGGTGGTAGGTATGTATGTACATATATATGAATGATTAGCATCAAGTGCAGATTCCTAAATATTTCTGACATCATGCTTAATTTTGTTGTTGCTTTTTTCTCAATTCGCTATGGATCTTCGTAATTCTTTTTATCTCCCTCTCCCTCTCTCGCTCACTGCTTACCTGCAACTCTGCAAAGTAAACGGTATATCCACATCGCCTATGGAGTAACGCTGTCCATCGATCGTACAGATGCTCACACCCCAGGAATCCGAACTATAACGCGCCAGCTGTGGTATATAATTGGCTACAGCACCATCCGCATTTGTCTTGCACTTCCAATAGATATCTTCGACATCCTTAACGAAACTTACAAAGTCGGGTATGATGAATTGTTGCCGGAAAGCTTTAGCGATCAGTACGATGTTTTGTGCTACGACACTAGATGAGAGGGATGGAAGGAAGAGAGAAAAATATATATGTAATAATAAGCTCAATTGAAGATAATTTTATTTTTGTTTACAAGATTCCGAATTGTCTAAATGAAGGGAAGAAGAAGCGGAACAAGAAACGATACAAAAAAACCAAGTAAAGGCTCCTTGTGAAGACCATCAGCAGTTCGGAGGCGGCTTAGTATAAATTGTACGTCCATCTCGCCTTAACGATAACAAAGCTCCATTAGTATTAAGAGCAGACTGTATTATTTTCGCATTTTCTAAACATATGCCGATGGTATTTTCGAAAATTTGCTTTCGTCTACCGAGAAAAATAAACCACAATGAAAGAGACTTGCTCTGAATGAACAGATAAGGCAGAAATTGAATAGCTCGAAGTAAAGTGCTAGAGACTTATGTCAAAGCACGAACGGACCTCGATGTATACCCTAAACCAGCTCAATGTTCTTGAGTTCGGAAATCTACAAACACAATTTTTGAGCAAACGTTTCCTCCGAACTCACTAATTGAGACTGAATGACTGTTCGAAGATGCGACTATGTTACCTAGTTTCCAGCTTTTCCATTTGCCTTCCTTCAACAGTTCTTGGGTTTATACAGTAAGACAATTTTTCTGCTTTAAATTCAATCTGTTCTACATCCAATCTGAGTCTGATTTTGTTGAATGTTCTAATTTAAGGCATGAACAGAACGCTTGGTTAGCTATTGAGACTACCGCTGCAATTGACTAGGGTAGTGTTCTCGTTCTCACAGCTTTCACAATCCAAAGGTTTTTATGAAAATAACGGGGCAAAACAACTGTGAAAAGAGGATTCGTAAAACACCATATTTCATCTTTATAAACAACACAATTTTCTGCGGTTGCTGTTGTTATAAGGACCCCCCCTTGATTTTCGATGAAAAATACGATTTTTTCTTTACGGAAAAGAGAATGAAGAGGATAAATATTATCCAAATGGCAGCTTCTCGAACACCCCTGCCTCACGCATGCCGCGAACTTTCAAAAAACTTTAAAAACGTTTTTCTAGAAACCATGTTTCCCGATCTAACTTCAAAACCTGGGCTTGATCTATCCGTCCGATTTCTTTTATCTAAAAACTGTTTCAAAGTATACAGGTTTTTGAACGTCTTGAACCTAAGATTGGCATTATTAATTAATTATTTACAATATTTAATTTTTTTTATTTTAAATATCCGCTATCTTTTTTAGCGTTTTAAGATCTCAAATAATGGTAAAATTCAGTGGTCAGACCAGAAGTTCATACGCCTTTTCATTCTCGCACAAAAAAAAATTCAAACTTTGCCTAACTTTTGCCCAATAACGGGTGTGTTTGTCCCCTTACCCTTATGAAGCTTTAGTTAGTTGATTGGTTAGTTGAAAAGTGGAGGTTGAGGACCTGAATGTAGACCGTCCCATTTGTTCCGTGGAGTAGTTTCATAGTGCACTTCGACTCAAACTAATTATGTAATATCGAACAGTGCGCTCGAACTTATACATTTCCTTCGATTCATTCTCGCCCACTTATGTTAAACTAGAACCTTAGACATTGCATAAGATAAGACACTTCCATTGGCTCAAGAACGAGTATTCGCAAAGGTTATTTGTTGTAAATGCTTTGCATACAGCAGTGTTTATCTCAGTGTTCAATACATCTATAAGGTTATATCGGAACTCAGAGAATTTCTCCTGGATTTATCATCCCATAATCAAATCTTCACTATCACTACTAACGCTTTCTATTATCTTTTTATCGATGCAAGCATGCAAAGAACTACACCCAATATGTTGTAGAATTTTGAGTTTTTCTAGATCTACTCATTGAAAAATTCCGTTTCGATAGGATCGGATCGGATAGTCGAAATTCTGGTTGGACCGACGCAAATGCCTTAACAAAGTGGTGACCTCAGCAAATATTCTTTGAGCTTTCTACGCTAGCTAAGTGAAATCAATTCTTGTCACCTTAGGTAGCAATCGCGGATAGGAATTCTGACCAATGCATCATCTTTCTGAGTGTTGTTTCTTAAGGTAGAAAACGATGATCCCTTCTAATATATTTCTTACATTTGTGCTTAATAAAATTCATTGCACCTCCTGAGAGTTTAAATGCTGGATGGTCCCATAGGCCACAGAATATCGCTTTCTTTAAGCAGATAATACTTCGAGTAATCTATGGACGTTTTCGGGATGATCCCATAGACCACAGAATGTCGCTTTTTTTAAGCAGAATAATCTATGGACTTTTTCTGGATGATCTTTCTAGACCACAGAAAGTCGCTTTCTTTAAGCATATAATACTTCGAATAATCTATGGACGTTTTATGGACAATCCCATAGACCACAGAATGTCGCTTTCTTTAAGCAGATAATACTTCGAAAAATCTATGGACTTTTTCTGGATGATCTCATAGACCACAGAATGTCGCTGTTTCTATATAAGGGCTTACACAACACTTAGATGCTTAAGGACAAGAATGATTATAGGCCTGCAACGACTGCCGATATGATTTATTATTATCGTTGTTTGGATATTACTATCACACTCTTTAAACCGGTTAATATAGCAATCTATTTATGTCTAAAATACATGTAAATAAAGCAATGTACATATGTAATCATACTTACGCCTTGAAAGTTTCACGATTTAAATTTTGCGTCTCCGCCGACGAACCAGTTTCATAATTCGACAATTTATGCACCTTCTTCAAGTTCTCCATCAATTCGCGAATGCGTGGATCGGTGCGCCTGATGCCGGTCGTCTTGAGAGCGGCCAAAAATTTGCCCATCGATATAAGACCGGTCTCCTCATTGTAGAACATATCGAAGAGTACATCTTCAGCGTTACGTTGCTCCTGCTCGCGATGGCTATACAAGCATACACATTCGTTTGTATGACACAGATGGAGGGTTTGGAAAATTGCAAAAAAAAAAATTAAAAAAAAAATAAATAAATTAGCATATTTAAGATAAGTAATAAGTAATTTATTTGGTAGATTTTTTCGAGCATTTGTTAATAACAAAGTGTTAAAAGTTAGCGTAAAGTGAGTTAGTTGGTTGGTACGCATTGCCACATTAACGCCTCAGCTGGCGTATTCTGACATTTTGGTATGTCTGTATTTATGTATGTATGTGTCACACATGCACAAATGCACACATACATGCACCAACTGTGAAATGTCAGTAAATTTTCATAGTTATATATGTATGTATCGTATTTCATGACTTGAGTCGATACAATTTCTACAAATTGTTAATATGTATGTATGCAAATTTGTAGCAAATAACTGGAAAATATAGTCTAACAACTAGTAATATATATTTATTTACGAATATATGCAGCTAAAAGAAACGAGCGTAAAAATCAAGCAACACAACATACTAGTATTTATGTACTTATGCATGTATGTAGTGTCCATGATGTCAACGAGTATGCTTGACTGAAGAGCAGGTAAGAGAGATATGAGCAGCTAGAGATGTATGGGTGATCAATAAAAGGCTTAAATACAGTTTTCAAAAACCACTTAACTAACGGTCTTCATTCATAGTAATCACATGATGTTGTTGTTCGTTGTTGAGTGTTATGAGTTTTTAAGTGAGAAATTGCAAATTCAGCACAAAGCTTTACACTTTAGCCAATCTTTGGGTAATGAATATTTGTATGTAAGTGATAATAGAGGAGATATGCTGCTAATTGTTGTTATGTTTGTGCGCAATTTATGTATTTGCTTCACTAAATGCAGCAGAATTTTTTTGTTTTGACTTTTTTTTAATCCATTTTTTTCGAACAAAAAAAAAATTATAAAAATTTTTATTTAAAAAAAAAAAAAACATAACTTTCAAAAATAAAAAATAATGTATAAAAATATACAAAAAAAAAAAAAAATTATTCTTAAAAAAAACTTATATATTTGTAGAAAATTAATACATACAAATATTTTGAGAAAATTTTTGCTATTTTTATTTGAGAGAAAGGAGAGTATAAGAGAAAAAAAAAATAATTAAACGAATTTAGAACTTATTTTGGACCTAAAAATATTCAAATAAAATAATTTCTATCTTTCCTTCATATTTGTTTTGATAATAAAACAGATATCTGAATAATCAGTCGATAAAGGTTAAAGGAATATTTCTAAGTCTTCCAAATTTTAAGGTCCGAACCGCTTAATCTAACATACAATTGATCCAAGATCACTCACGCTATATTAGATGTACGAGTATGTCTTATGGTGGTTCAATCTGGCCGATATCAACTTGCAATAAATCATGGCTACCAATTTTCATTCAAATATCATTAAAATTAAGCGAAAAATTCAAATGGACAGGCGGCTAGTGCTAAGCGAGTTTAATTCGTCATTTTTTAAATAAATTTTGAAAGTCAATTGTGTCATATTCTGTGGCCAGCGTACTTCGAGTTAAATCTCAAGATTATATTCGAGTGCCTTCGAGCTGAGAGCACTCTGGCACCTGTTCGTTATAGGAAAATATTTGATACAAAAATTCTATGAGGTATTTTCACTTCGAAATTTTTGAATTTATTTTTTCAGAATTGATTGAGTTATAAAATATTCAATTTGGAGATTTTTTTTTATTACTTTTGGGGTTGCTATAAAATTGAAAACCTTGCTTCAAGCCTTTTTTTTTCTAGGCGGCAAAAATAATAAGAGAAATTTCTAGATACTTTTTATTACAAATAAATTGTAAAGAAATGACATTTTCACAAACTTGCATACTTAGATTTTTTCGATTGTACACTAGACGACCGCAGTTTGATATCCTGGTCTATGTTGTCCTAGGAAACTGTGAGGCCGATGAGTACTGTTATAACCCCTGTTAACTCTGTACATGACGTCAGCATATCGCTTTTTTACGCCAAAATATCTGTTAAGGTTAGCTTTCACCAGAAGCACCAACAACAGATGGCGGTGCAAATGTGGTCAATTTAGTCGAAGTAAACAAAACTAAGTTTTTACTTCTTCTAAACAACACTTCTATAAGCGTAACCAACCACGTAATAACCGGGCATTGTATTATAGGGAATCAGGGTAGAAGAATGAGCTGCTTTTCAAACGACTTTCGCCGCAGCTGCAGGGATATAGATGAGCAGGTGTCGGTGCAACATTACCCCTGCCACTGCTCAGCTCTCAGTGCGGCTCGTTATTGCTTTCTCGAAATTTTTTTTTTTAATTTCTTCTCATATCCTTGCAACTGTAGGCACCATTAATCCCCTAAGCTTTATAAGTTGTTTGAACAATTATAAAAAAAGAGAATCTCCTAACAACAGATGTGACTCGCGAAATGTCAAATAGGCTTTTTGCACTCCTGAAATCCAAACTCTGGGATTATGTCTAGCTACTGAATCTACGAATCAACTCAATTTGTTCTTGCCATATTATGAATTTGCTTTACATTCACCATGCATCATGGATGGCATGATAATTATCTGAAATGATTGAACTATAAAAATTGTCGATTTCTTAACGACTCCTGGAAGTTTGACGCTTAACCCAGAGTCAATATGTTCTCTGAATAATCCTATCTTTTGCGCTACTTTTATGTTACATCAATAAAATCATTGTTTTGTCTAGCTGGAATTTTTTGCACCTTCAGTCAATTCTAACTTAAATTTTTTCCCAAAATGGTTTTTTGTAAGGCACAGAAAATCGATTGAAAATTTTTTATTTTAGTTTTACTCATTTATCTTATCGAATTAAATTTTCCAAAAATGAGTCTTAAAAATTTAGGTAGTAAAATTGAAATTTCTATGGCGCACCGCCTATAATTATTCAACTAATAATTTGGATTAATATTAATTAATCCTAAAATTTGTCTAATTAAAATTTAGATTTAACATTAATTATTTAAATATTGCAGAAAACCACAGGTCTCGGATTAAGATTTCTGGGGTAACTCCTAAAGATTACAAAAGTCAAAAGCAAAGATTAACCTATCAACCTAAGATTTCTCTCAGAGTGCCAGAACAAATCTAATTTTTTTTTCTTTTTTTGCGATTTCATAAAACTTGCAACAACAAAGTAAAAAAGGATTTGTTGTCCAAACAATTGTGTCACTCATGCTCATAAATGCTTTTCAAAAATCATCGACTTTTACTGTTCGGTAGAACTTCGTCCAAGAAATATTTCTCTGCGACTATAAAAATATATTTTTCAAAGCACGTCATGTATAGTTCCAGCGCACTTAGAGCTACGAACCTATAAACTATAACGGTATACCACGCTATGAAGATGTCCGTTTGAAAAGGAAATCTTATCCACTGAGGTGTTTTTGAAGAGATTTGGAATGTCTTTATATGGATATTTTATGAGTTTGCATGCCTGAATGGAGATGGAATGAATATACGAGCATAAATTATTAATTTTATTTTATTTTTTATTAAGGTAAGTGCACAAGAGCGCAAAAATATTTAATAAAAGTGTCTAAAATATATATCTATATATATATATTTTTTTTTTATTTTTTTTTTTTAGTTTTTACTTTAGATAAAACCTTGAAGTCAATGGAAATTTGTCTCTATTCAAAATCTCTGTCTCGATTTTTTTTTTAATTTTAATTAATTTCATTTTCATTATATTTTATTATATTTATCATTGAATGTATTAGATTTATTTTTAATTTGTTATTATTTTTTTTAATAATTTATGAACATTCATAATGAAATGAAATGTAATTTGTTGAATTAATTTAAGAACACTCTAAATTGAGTTCCATAGTTTATGAAATGGAATTTTTCGATTTAGTTTCTTAAATATTTTTTAAGAATACAACAGAAAGAAAAAAATTACTAAAACTATAATGAAATTATTAAAACGTAAAAATAAATAATCTTTACAAATATTGCAATAAGAAATGTTGCAAGCAAGAGAATAGCTGATAAAATATGCAGGTTTTATTTCAAATTTTTTATAACAACACCCAATAAATTTAATAAAAATTAGTAGTTCCTTTGAGAAAGAAATTTCTCTAAAAATATCATTAAATAAATACCATAAAATAAATGACAGCTTCGAAACTACACAATTAGAAAATGCACAGTGGCCATTTTTTTACAATCAATGCAACAACAACAATAAGAGATTTATGTATATAATGTGTAAAAAAAAATTGAATGCGGCGCAATGGCAAGCAAATTACTTTTTTTCTTCACTAATTTTCACTAGTAATGAATTTTATGCAATTACAAAAGATACGTAAATAACAATAAATATGCAGAGAATTTTGCAAAGATTAAAAAATATTTACTAAATTTTGGAAAAATAGTTTAAAAAAAAGTTTTCTATTGTTTTTTAAACAAATTTACTCACGGTCGCATCGATAAGAAACGCTTCTGTAGGCTACACCAAAGCGAGAATTCATTCATTGTTCAATGTTGGCGAGAAGAAAACGAAATGAAATGGTGTATAGGAGGAGTACATATATAGTATGAAAATATTTTGGGCGAATTTGAAAAAAAAAAACAAACAAAAAAACACAAAAAAAAAGAACAGCAAAATTTGAAATCAGACAATCTAAACAAATTAAACCAATTAATTTGAATATTACTTGTTTTCAAATGTGTTTGCTTGTTTGCGTGTATGTATGTATGTACAATGCATACATAGATGGAGACATATGTAAGCCATCGTACATACATTTTATAAGTATACTCGTCTTAACAATTAACGAATGGCAAAGAAAAAATATAAATACATTTAATAATAGGTTGACAACAATTTGCTGGCAGAAAAACAAAAAAAAAATTAAAAAATATATTCTTAAAACATAATTAAAATCGTTTTGATTATTTTCCTAAGCAAGTATAACACTCATAAAGACATATTTTATGTGCACATTTATTTGTTGGTACATTTAAGTGGCGCGTGCCAAACAGCGACACTTGACACTGAGACATTGCCTGCTTTTAAATGTGATAATTTCGAGCAGCAACACTAAATGACATGTGGTGAATAATCACAAATCCATTGCATACATATGTATTTACAAAGAAATAATGATTGAAAAATATTTATATACATATACATATTAAAAATAGTGCGACCGTAGATGACCATCATCAATTGTTTAATTTCTCATAACTTTAAAATATAAGCATATATATATATATATGTATATAAAAAAATAAATAAATTTTACTGATTATTTTTTTATTTTTTGGATAAGTCTCTATTAGAGTGAATGTATTAAAAAATTAAAAAAAAATATGTTTGAAGGCATTTCCATCCTTTTTTCCATCTGGGTGCATACCTTAATATCAATGATAATTAATTAAAAACAACTTAAGTCAAGTTTTTAACGTACTGAGTAACTACCACTTAAGGGGTGTATATTTTTAAGTTTCCTTTTTTTACGCAACAAATTTTTCATCGAAAATAAACAGAAAACTTTCAATGGAAAATTTAAACTTTAAATAGCTCTCCCAAACACTTTTTATTAAAAGCGTATGAGCTTAGTCAAATGAGCATTTCAAAAAAAGTTGAATAAAATTCTAGAAATATGTAATTGAAAGCCCAACCGAAAAATCGAATAACACAAGGCCTGATTAATTAACTAATAATTAATTAAATTGTAATATTTCACAATTGAAAATTATTTATTGAATTAATTGAAAGACTGAAAAGCTTAAAAAATTAAACAATTAAATGATTAATTAGATTTGATTGAATTAATCGATAGACTGAAAAGCTTAAGAAATTAATCAATTAAATGATGAAATGATGAAAAGCTTCAAAGAACTATTGTATTAGTTGATTAATCCGATTAACGATTAAACGAAAAAATTTAATTGATTAAACGCATATAAGTATAATGAGATTTCCACTAAATATTTTCGGTTTTTTACATAAATTTAATGAAAACCATGTAACCTAATTATTTGTGTAAAGAAGCGTAATTAATCGACTAACCGTATATGCTGGGTAATTGAAATCAGATTATTTTCAAAATTAATTTAAAATAATTAATTATAGTAATAATATTTATTTATTTCATTTATAAAATATTAAAAATATATATATATCAAATCAATTGATTAATCAGACGAATGCTGAATAAATTTTTTTAAAAGATTAATCGTAAGTAGCTAAGGTATTACAAATATTAATAAAAAAAATTATTATTTAAATGAAAACATCCTCCAAGATATTTACGTTAATAGTAATCCCAATATTTTAGTGTCATTTGTTTCCGAAACAATTAATCGTTTAAACCGATTAGTGATAACTGAAATGCGATTAATTGCATAATCAATTCTTTGTAATTCTTTCGTAATAAAAATTATTTAAAATAAATATTTAAAAATTAATAAAAATTAACATATTTGATAAATTCAATTTGGGAAGAATAAAAAAACACTGAAAACTAAAGTAAAATAGTTTTATTCAAAAAATCTAATTTTGAATCTCTAATGTTATAGTTTTGCTTTTAAACTTCTTTTTAATGCATTTAATTAGTTGCTTAAACAAATTTTTCGTTAATTTAAGCAAGCCTTTTAAACTGAACAATCACTTTTGTTAAATATATTATTATTATTAATATATTCAGATATAATCAATAAATAATAATAAATTACCGATAATCAAAATATAATTTTTTCGCTATTTTTTTAATTTTTTTATATTTTATATTTTTTTTTTATATTTTTTTTTATATTTTATTTTTACTTTTTTTTTTAATTTTTTTTTTATATTTTTAATTATTTGTATTTTTTATGTTTTACTATTTTATATTTTTTTTTTATTTTTAAATTCTTTTATTATTATTTGTTTTATTTTTATTAATTTTTTTATTTTTTAATTTTTTTATTTTTTTATTTTTATTTTTTTTATTTTTTTTTTTATTTTTTTATTTTTTTTTTTTTTTTTTTTTTTTATTTTTTATTTATTTTTTTTTTTTTTTATTTTCATGATGAACCAAACCGCGAATACCGAAAAAAAAAACAATTTAAGGGAACTTTCTGGTCTTGATGTTTAAGAGGAAATTCTGGAGCTCTAACTTTTTCCCATACATAGACTGAACGAGGTAAGTTTGCCTGGCTAATATATTATATGTTGCTAACGGTATTTAAGAAACGCGGAAGGTTGCAGCATGAGCTCTTTAGCTGAGCCTTTATAATCGAATTCTCGAATAAATGCTTAAATAACAAAGATATTAAAAAAAAATAGTTTCTTATTGTAAGCGATCCTCAGCAGGGTATGCCAACCACTCCCGACTATATTTTTTACAACGTATTAAAAGATAACTCATAATAATTCATTAGCAGTTTGGATGCGACTTAGAATAAATACCAAGTACACCCATTCGCTGGGAAAAATATCAGGACGCATACAAAGCATTGGAGGAGGAGCTCGGCCGAGAATCGTTTCAGCGCTTACCAAGCGTCATTTTTATGTGTATACAAACTTAGAGTTGTTCAGGTCTTTAGAAAAAACACCCCTATTGTAAGAGTAAAAAATTAATTTAACAAATTTTGGTTCATATTTTTTCAAATTTTTTACAAATTTTTTGACAAGTCAATTGAAGAAAATAAAATAGAAAATTTCGCAAAGAAATCCTTTTTAAATGCTTTCTCTGCTTTTTTTTTTGAAATTGTCTTTTTTAAGTCAGTTATTTTTTAATTGAAATTTCGCCTTAAGCTTTTAAATTTAAACAAAATAATATACCTTTTCACATTTTTCGCTAATTTAGCGACTTTTTCCCACATTCAACTTCAGCAGTTTATGTATAAAAGCCACTACAGACATATAATTTTCATCTTCATACTCAACAATTATTGCACTTCACTAAACACAACACTTCGGCGCAATAAACTTAAATCTAATTTCCTTGCCTAACACCTCGAACGCTTGCATTTACCTTATAATCGCCGATATGGTCCGAAAAATTGTACCGCGTCGATGATTGAGCGAAATGCCTTCAATGATTTCCTCAATGATTTGTGTAGTTTCTTCCAGCTCTTTAGCCTTTTCAGCAGACTTTTGCGTTCTTGCCGCAGCCTCATTATGCGCATCCGACATTGGTGGTGGTATGATATTCACTGCGACTGCTTCGCCGGCTGCACCAGCTGTACCATCTGCAGCAGCGGCTGCCTCAACACCAACAGGCTCACTTTCACTATCACTACTTTCCTGCTTTACTAAATCATTGGACACTGTTTCATATTCGTCTTCCGTAGTGTATAATGCCAATGCATCCTCGGGAGCATCAACAACTAAACTACCATTATTGGATTTATTCCAGTGCACCATGGCGTATGAGGGATTTTATTATTTTATTTTTTATTTTTTCCCTTAATAAAGTGTTTTGCTGCGAGTGTAAATATCTTTGATTGTGTATATGTGCAAAATATGCTAGATTCAGCCTTGTGATATTGTTTAGTGTTTATTAAATATTGTTGTAATGTTTAATAATTATTTTTTGGTAAAGATTTTTCAATATTCTTAAAATTTATTTCAGTTTTAAATAATTTTCATTCAAATTGCACTTGTGCACGGTTTGCTTGAGCGCGAGCTAATGAATTCGAAATCCACTCGGTTAGTCAATTATATAGCCGGTTAATAAAAATATGCCAAGCCATACCCGCTTACTCTGCCCTCAAAGGTACGCACGTATTGTATATCAAGCTTAGGCAAGCAATCGCAAGGTGTGCTGCACCTACCAGTTTGCGCACAAATCTCTTCTTTTTTTTGTTTTGTTTTCTACAATTAGTCAGTTCGCACTCAAATATTAAAAATGCACACTCATATATATATATATTTATGTACGTCTATCACATACTCACACGAACGTCACTCAGTTTACATCCCTTTTTTGGCGTTGAGCAAATATTCATAACCATTTATATATAGATATGTGGAGTATATAGGTATATCAAATTAACAATATCCTTTACGTTTATTAATATGTAGTGTTTAAACCAATTAGCATTAGTTAGTATTTGAAGGTATTTATTCTTTGTGTTTCTGTGGGAAAGAAGGTGCTAATTATAAAAACATGTTGAAACTATTAAAATAGGCGAAAAATTTTCGTAAATCTCCCTTTTTTGTGCGGTTAGTGAAATTCTACATAATATTTGCGAATATAATTTAATGTTTTAATTTTTATAAAACGTTTTTAATTTACAACAAAAGTAAAGTGCGAAATCACTAGCACAACGTTCACAGTATTGAATGTGTGCGTTGTTGTTATCGAAAATCAGCGCTTGTGTTATCTATAAATATGCTATAAATAAAAAAATCACAGACCATAGTTTTTTGAACGCAAACATATGTATATGATTTTTGGGTTTTTAATAATTTTTTATCCACGTGCAGACTACAAAATTTTATAAATAAATATTTTCATTAGACCATTTTATAAATAAATATTTAAATTAGAAAAGTTTATTTTTGGACACAGCATAAAAAAATGGTATCTTTGAAACCACTTGATGGGGTTTTTTTAGACTTAACATGATGATAATTAAAATCAGTTGGTTGAAACTCTTTCATAAATATTTGTATTTATTCATTGCATCTGCTTCAACATAAGAAGAGGGTTAGCGGTAGTATCGAAAAATACATTCATAATCTGATATATACATTTTTTCAATCCGTTTTGATGTAGAACAGAAATTATTTCCTTTCGTTTCATGGCATTTCCTTTCAGTTAATATCATTTCATTTCGTTTCATTTCATTTCATTTCATTTCATTTCATTTCATTTCATTTCATTTCATTTCATTTCATTTCATTTCTATTCATTTCATTTCATTTTATTTTATTTTATTTTATTTTATTTTATTTTATTTTATTTTATTTTATTTTATTTTATTTTATTTTATTTTATTTTATTTTATTTTATTTTATTTTATTTTATTTTATTTTATTTTATTTTATTTTATTTTATTTTATTTTATTTTATTTTATTTTATTTTATTTTATTTTATTTTATTTTATTTTATTTTATTTTATTTTATTTTATTTTATTTTATTTTATTTTATTTTATTTTATTTTATTTTATTTTATTTTATTTTATTTTATTTTATTTTATTTTATTTTATTTTATTTTATTTTATTTTATTTTATTTTATTTTATTTTATTTTATTTTATTTTATTTTATTTTATTTTATTTTATTTTATTTTATTTTATTTTATTTTATTTTATTTTATTTTATTTTATTTTATTTTATTTTATTTTATTTTATTTTATTTTATTTTATTTTATTTTATTTTATTTTATTTTATTTTATTTTATTTTATTTTATTTTATTTTATTTTATTTTATTTTATTTTATTTTATTTTATTTTATTTTATTTTATTTTATTTTATTTTATTTTATTTTATTTTATTTTATTTTATTTTATTTTATTTTATTTTATTTTATTTTATTTTATTTTATTTTATTTTATTTTATTTTATTTTATTTTATTTTATTTTATTTTATTTTATTTTATTTTATTTTATTTTATTTTATTTTATTTTATTTTATTTTATTTTATTTTATTTTATTTTATTTTATTTTATTTTATTTTATTTTATTTTATTTTATTTTATTTTATTTTATTTTATTTTATTTTATTTTATTTTATTTTATTTTATTTTATTTTATTTTATTTTATTTTATTTTATTTTATTTTATTTTATTTTATTTTATTTTATTTTATTTTATTTTATTTTATTTTATTTTATTTTATTTTATTTTATTTTATTTTATTTTATTTTATTTTATTTTATTTTATTTTATTTTATTTTATTTTATTTTATTTTATTTTATTTTATTTTATTTTATTTTATTTTATTTTATTTTATTTTATTTTATTTTATTTTATTTTATTTTATTTTATTTTATTTTATTTTATTTTATTTTATTTTATTTTATTTTAATTTTTGCTACTCATATCACAGGTTCAAAGTCGAGAAATGTTCTTATAAATTAATTAGAGCGATAATCCATTTTTGATTGAATTATTAGTTTGTATTTGTAAAAAACACAGTGAAGTGTTTTAATTGTAAAATATATGGAACTGAAAAATGTATGGCTTGATAAAAAAAAAACAATAAATTTTCTCTAGAAATGAATAAAAAAAGTCTTGTAGAAGGAGTAGTCTAGGGGTAAGTCCATACCATGCTTAGCCGCTTTATCTCTAAGGCATATACGATACATTAATGTTTCCCTAGTAAAAACTGTAGTCATAGTACAACAAAAATCCAACAATGATACTCATGACTAACATAGCTCACATAGCTCAGCTGTTTTATCTAATCATTATTGCGAAAATAAAATTTTTAAAACTTGTCATTTTATAATCACGTAGTAAATGAAAGTGAATGGCGCTACTTAACTGTGATTTATGCAGTCAGTAGTTTTATAGGTGTACGTATGCACATATATATGCTGAATATTACTTAGATAAAATAAAATTTAAGGAAAATTTAGCGTCACTATTAAAAATAAAAAAAACCTTCTCTGTCTACGTTAATATCTATCGCTTTAGTTATTGTATTTTTTCTATTTCAGATATAGATTTTCGGAGTCATTGTTGTACAAAAACATACAAAATATAGTATCATACGTTCTTAAATTTATGAAAGGAAATATAATATGATAAGATTGTTTTAAAATTCTCAGCTGCTCACTCAAATATGAAAAAATATGATTTTGCTTTTATGATTTATTTTTAAATACTTTTTGTAAAATCTGCAACTGATTCTCATCAAAGACGTTTTACCGTCATATTACTGTATAAGCATGTTTATAACAAACTAATATATTGGTTGCCTCTTTCAAGAGCAGTCAAATAGAATTTAGCCTACATTTAGGCGAAAATCTTTCTCATGAGAGGAGTTGTGATCTTCATTACAAAATTCTAACTAATTTACATTTTCGACATTTAAATATTTTTAAACTCACTGATTTTTCAATAATTTAAAATTTTTAAAGTCTATAAATGAATGATGTATTGTACCGAGCCTAAATGTAGACAACACTATTTTAGATTAATTTTTAAATTAAGCTCTATTAACTAGGCAACTACTACATGGTCTGAAAAAAGTATACTCGAAGCGGTATTCGCCCGATAATATGAAACTCTCATAAACGACATAAATTTGGGCGTCAGGTTAGACCAACCGTCATGAAGCAGTGGTTGGTCAGATTCATAGAGCTGTTGGAGGCTACTATTCTATTAATCTGGACATTTTAGTCTTCTATGAACTGCTTGGGGCAAAATCTCAAAATAAATAGTAAAATTTACACTTGCAGCATTTTATGAAGAGATATGGGGAGACCTGTACATCCACAAAAGTTGTTTGGTATAGAATGGCAAAAAAGGTCCACAACTACAACTATCCTAATGGAGCACACTTCATAAAAGAATACTTAATAATAAACAGGCGCAGAAAACCGATTTAGACAACTTAATTTTCAAGCTTTTTAGAGCACTTTAAAAATAATCGCGTAGTTTTGCAATTTTTATTCTTCACTTCAAAAAAAAAAAAAAAATATTGGCATGCAACAAACAACTAAATATTTATTGCTTTTTTTTTTGTTAAATTCTGCACACATTTTACCTCAAATAAGTAGAGACTACTTTGACAAAAGTCGATTTATGCTGCTGCATACAGATTCCCTGGACCAGCTCGGCCAGCACAGCTTCATCGAAATGATAGGAATCATCGTTTGCCTTTTCATTGTATTTTTCTTTCGTCGAAAATGCTTCACTGGCACCCTTTTCCATGTTCATCAACTTCTCAGAAACATCTAGATTATTGAGATTCTCATATGACTCGGTGCGTGAGTCAACACGCCTGGGTAGCCTATCAGCAACATCTTCGATTATATTTAGATAATTCATTTTTCTATTTATTTCACGATTATGCAAATTTTGGAATTACACAAAAAGATCACACACAAAAGTCTTTAATTTCTTATTAAAATAATTTATTTTATATTTTCACTTTTATTCCCTTGCGCACCACACGGCTTTTAGAGAGAAGCTTGGCTGCTGACCGTTCGTTTGAAGTATTAATTCAAAACTTTTATGTTCATAGCTGCCACGCTTAATTTTATAGGCGTTAAAATTGCCATGCGCAGAAACTTGTTTTTTTTTTTCTAAATAAATATATATATTTTTTTTATTATTTATTTACACTATTTTTTTATTTTTTTTTAATTTTTTTTTTTAAAAGCCTTGTTAATTGATATAATAATTTAAAAAAGTGTGTTAATTTTTTTATAACACGTTATATCGCTCACAAGGGAGTACAACAATAGGTGCCTTTTTCGTGCGATATATGAAATAGTGGATTAAGATTCTTCTTCTCTTTACTCCACTCAAATCAAATTTTTTCACTCAACTGTTGTATTTGTTTGCATTGTATTAGCTTTTATTAGCATGGAATTGTAAGAATCATTTAAATACTGACGTTTGGAAAACGTGAGTTGAAGATGACTTGTATTTGGTCTTTTTGTTATGCACATGTTTCATACGTATTGTACATAAATATGTATATTTATATGATAAGTGCAAATCTGTCATTTGTACCAATGCTAAAGGCCATGATTTGTCATTTTATCGCATTTGATTCTAATTTAATTGCAGAATTCAAAGTCAATTGCATAAGTTACACAAACAAAGCTCGCGCAAGGACATTTGTACAATAGTTGTTGGTCGGTATGCGGTTTTGAGTGATAAGCCGGTACTCGATTTTTACACTAAGCAAAACAA